GGGGTACCCTTATTGTACGACATAATTTACTGTCTGCAAACAGACGGGGCGTCGATGTAAAACATGTGCAAACACGGGCCGGATTATACCGATGCAACGTCTCCTCTCTCGCCGTCTCGCCGACCCTCTGTCCTCTGTTCTCTCGTTTTCTCGGTGTCGTTTTCGATTCAATGCCCGTGGAACAGGGATTTATTTCGAGCCGTGTAAAATGACTCGAGTTGAATTGAGTTGTATACCTACTTCTCTCCGCGTTGTCCCACGAGAATCTCGGCCATCGCGGTGCCTTTTCTCCATCAAGCTACGCTCCTGTCGTAAGAACGTTCGACGATTTATTATCTAACGTTTGGTGTATATTTAGTATAATTCCGGAAAATTTCTGGAACTTTTCGAAACTAGATACACGCGTAAGTACATCGATTCTTGAACGATTGATTTCAACCCCTCGGGAGTGAAATAAAATTACAAAATTTTTGTGAAATACTATAGGAGATTCTAAGAATTTTTGGTATTCGAAAAATATTAATTTATATATTATTCTAAGGTTATTTTTTGGTTATCTTTAGAGGGAGATATGTTTTATGACAGTTAATAATTATCGGGACTGGAATATTACTAGATTGTCACTATATTATCACTATTGTATATTTTGATGCGAATATTATATTATCATTACTGTAAAGAGTTCAGAAGAAGGATGAAGCAACTGATCTGTAAATTGCCCTAATCACGTGCACACGCAAAGACAGTCGAATTAATCACTATGGCTTATAAACGACTCCATTATCGTATAAACAACGCGTGACAAAGAACCCCAACTAACTTCTTCACAGATCTTTACAGCAGTGATAATGTACTAACAATCTGGTGATAATCTAGTGACAAAGAAAACGAACGATGCACATTAAAAAGAAACACTGTTCTTCTGAACTCTCTGCAGTAATTATACCATATTAATATTCTAGTAACAACCTAGTGACAAAAAAAAAAAAAAAACGAGCAATAAATATTGAAAAGAAATGCTTTTCCATTCTAGTGACAAAAGTGACAATCTAGTGACAATCTAATACCTATTCCTATTGATCATAGTCCTTGCCTTTAGTCTGATAAATATTGGAAAGAAACACTTCCATTCTAGTGACAAAAGTGACAATCTAGTGATAATCTAATACCCATTCCTATTGATCATAGTCCTTGCCTTTCAATTCAGCACAAATTTCCGGTTTTGCATGCATGTAACTTTCTGCATCTTAAAAACTACAAGTGACACTCTAGTAATTAACCAATAAACATTCACCAACCCTCCCTCCCTCTCTATTATCCTTCAAAAATACATATCTCCCTCGAACGAAATGCAACTTGAACCTAACCTCGAAATAAATAAGAGTGCAAAGCCCTGCCAAAGGGTAGCAATAAAACCTCACGGAAACGTAGAGAAGCGAGAGTCTGGCCGACGAGCAGAGTAACGAGACGAGGAAGGAAGGCGGAACTGGCGCAATTAACGACATTCGACGGGGCGGCAGGATTAATCGGCAACAGGCGAAAAAAGGAGGACCTGGCAGGGGAGACGTGGAAATAATTTCGCGAGAAGAGCAGCGAGGGTCGCAACGATCGATACCGGTTTCATCGTGTCTCCTCTTCGTCTCCTCCCTGGTATCCATGGTGACGTAGCAATGGCCGACGAGGACGTCGCGGCGCCTGCGTCCGTTTGTTCTAATTCAATTTTCCCCGATAAAGCCTGCTCCATGGACTTCGGCTCGACCCACCGAAAAACCAGGGACGCCTACACACCCTCCAGAAATCCTCCAGAAAATTCCATCTCGTCCTCTACTATTTTCCCTCGACGTCGTTGCCATTCGATCCAACGAATCTCGATCATCTTCCAGTAAATAGATAACCAAATACAGACACTCGAAATGTAACAGAACTCAGAATCAAAGAGGAATTCCAACTGTTTAGCGGATATTCTTAGACCTATTTTGTATTAGAGTCCTTTTTATACCTATGTATGACAGGATACTAGTATGACAATAGTCCAAACTACTATTTCCAGGTCAAAAGGCTGAAATAAAGATATTCATTGGAAAATTCTCAAATATTTTTAATGGAATTATATTTCTTCCATTTTCCCATGTTTTCCATTATTATTCGACCATTTAAATCACCCTTTGATTTAACTTTCTATGACTGTCTATTTAATACTAATGATGACAACGTAAATAGATAACCAAATACAGACATTCGAAATGTAAGAGAACTCAGAATTAAAGAGGAATTCCAATTGTTTAGCGGATATTCTTAGACCTATTTTGTATTAGAGTCCTTTTTATACCTATGTATGACAGGATACTAGTATGACAATAGTCCAAACTACTATTTCCAGGTCAAAAGGCTGAAATAAAGATATTCATTGGAAAATTCTCAAATATTTTTAATGGAATTATATTTCTTCCATTTTCCCATGTTTTCCATTATTATTCAACCATTTAAATCACCCTTTGATTTAACTTTCTATGACTGTCTATTTAATACTAACGACAACGATTAGCATTGAAGCTTCTCCTGTAATCGTGTAATAATCGCTGGAAAAGTGAGTGAAAAATCGTGAATTTCTGTTCAGATTGGCTAGCTGCTAACGTGACGACGCCTGACGTCTCTGTCTCGAATATCTGTACCAACGATATTCGACGCTCGGCACCCCTCGACTCGACTGGAAGAAAAGGAGAGAGGCGCGAGTGCGTTCAGGAACATTAATAAAAATTTCACTGGTCGATGGCCACGGACCATGGATCCACGCGATCTGCACGAGGTGGAGGAACGGTACGTTGCGCAGGTAACTCTTTCGCTGTGAAAACGGCACCCCTGATCTTTCTGGGCCGTCGCGCAGCGGGACGCTGCAATGGCCCCCTTTATTTTGATTTATTCCACGTCGACTCGCTTTGACGCCCGGTGGCCCGTGCCTCTGAATAACAGCAGCGACTCACAACTCTTCTGAAACATTGATGAAGAACAATACCCGTCACTCCACGCCTCCATATTGTACCTCCAACGTTGTGCCTTCTCTGCGTCCGAGTAATAAAATAATTCTACCTACGCAATTTTTTAAGCGAACCTCGAAAATTGTTCAAACTCGATTAGCCAGTGATTAGTATAGTTATTAATAAGGTTACCATTCCAATGAAAATTGTAATGACAATTTTCCCCTCGAATTATGAAATTACATTTCCGAATAAAATTAAATAAGCATTGAGGAGACAATTTTCAATTTTTCGGATATATAAAAATAAAATAGCGACATGGTTGACGAATTGGATAATTCGAATTGGAAATTGGGTAACTCGAATGGGTAGCATGACGTAGCTGTACAAAAAGACGAGGCTCATTTTCCGCGATAAAGATGGAAATTCGCGAGCAACCCCAGCGAGGGGTGCAGAAGGGGTAACACATGTCGATCCGACAGTTAAGATACGAGGAACGATGGGGTTGGATTCGGCCGATTTTTACCCCAAAAGCGAGGTTTTGTGTCGCCCGGGTCATAAATCAAGGGGCGTGAAATCAATTACCACTTATCGGTGCCGTGACTCTGAACCTGTCGCCTAACCCAGCCTGTTTCATGCCCCTTCTCTCTTAACCCTGCCAAAGAAGAAAGAAAAAACTGAAAATCAGGAAATTAAGTCGTAGCGTGCAGTATACGAAATATTTTCCACCCCTAAAATCGGTATCTCGAAGGGAATAGCGCGAGGAGCTGTTCCAGCTAGTTGCAGGGATAAAATTGGAAAACGAAGCTCGAAATATTCCGAGAGATTAGGAAGAAGTAGTCGCAAGGTGAATAGAGAGAATGGAGTCGGTATAGTGAAAGAATCGGTTTTTTCAAAGGGAACCGGCGATGGCCTCGTGAGACGATCGTCTTCGAAGAGGAATCCTGCAGGAATCGTCGATCGTATCTTCCGTCAGGCGCAACGGATACTTTCTTCTTCCTTTTTTCTTCCGGACACGGGTGGATCGTGGTAAAAAGAAAGGAGAAGAGGAAGTAAGCGATGCGTGGCGTCTCGGAATAATGGCCGATCGATCTCTACCGATTTCTTGCGCCGCGCTACACGGGTATTCTCGCTGTTCCGGTCACAAAGAACCGACTGTACTTTCCAGGTTTCTACCGACTCAGAGAAAGGTAAATTTCTCTGGAAATTTCGGAGAAACTAGCCCCGATCTCTTCGGACTCTCCCGAGTGTCTTGGTGATGAGGAAGATCGTATAATACGAACATCAGATTTTAGGAACGCTTGAAACGTTTGAAAAATTATCCTTTACGAGATTTATCTCAAAGGTGGGACTGTAAATTGAATTTTTAGGAGAAAATAATTTAGTTAAAATTGTAATAGAAAAAGAACTTTTTAGAAAAAGTATTTTACCCAATATTATAGGCTAAAAATATAATTTTTGGCGGGAAATAATTCACTCGATTTTTGGAGAAAATATTTCACCCAATTTTTAAAGGTAATAATTCACCAAGTATTATAGTTTAAATATAAATTTTTAGAGGAAATAATTCACATTATTTTGGGGGGAAATATTTCACCTAGTTTTTAGAGCAAATAATTCAGCCAATATTTAGAGAAAATAATTCAGCCAATATTAAACTCGAAATATAACTTTTCAGAAAAAATAATTCAGCCAATATTTATAGCAAATATACAATTTACTCCATATTTATTTATTTCAACCATATTATTATGGTGTAATAAACAAATAAATAAATTTAAAGAGACTAGAAATTATTAATGATACTAATAAATTGATAATAAACATTGAACGCAAAATTTCAATTTTGCTTGTGAACACCCAACCCCCAAACTGTACCGAGCCGTTTTGATTTCGATAAACAGCAGAGTTACCTATATTCATTGCTTGACATCGTTTGACAATTTGCTAAAAGATAGAACGCAAAGTTAATAGGAAGCTACAGGGGTTGGATAAATATATTTACAGCGAATAATGGCAAATAAATTACACGGTGCCATTTTCCGCACACAGTCCATTATTACACGCTCGGCTGGCCAAGCTGTTTGCCTTTCCCATGTACGGAATAATCCGCCATTTCGACCGACTTGTCGTACGTATCGCGCCTTTGCATTATCCTGAAACGGGTAAATACCCCGTCAGTTCCGGAATCGGCTTAAATCGGCCGTCTCTCTGACGTATCGACACCCCACGCGTCAAAGGGGTGAGAATCCAGGGTTCCATGCTTCTAATATTTTTCACGAACACCCTCGAAGAATATTCATAAAATATAACACACTTTCATACTTAAAAGAACACCTTTCTGAATTTTTCCAGTATTAGGAAGCTCTTCTGTTGGAGCCCCACGCGTCAAAGGGGTGAAAATCCAGGGTTCCATGCTTCTAATATTTTTCACGAACACCCTCGAGGAATTTTCATAAAATGTAACACTTTCATACTTAAAAGAACACCTTTCTGAATTTTTCCAGTATTAGGAAGCTCTTCTGTTGGAAATATACCCTATTTAAGGAAGCTAAATTTAACCCCTACTAGCAGATAAATTATACGCGAATTATATTCATACAGATTTCGAAAATTTACAATTTTATTTTAGACAAAATATTGTGCAATTAAGCACCTTCCCAGAACACTATTTTCTATTTACAATTAAACCACAGTACAGGGGGGTAAGAGTGTACTATATTACCAAGAAATAAACATTTTTCACCCCTAAATTATGCAGTTCGGTCTATCCTGCAAATTATTCAGAGAAAAATTTCTTAGAAAATAGACAGAGTCTTTCAAAATTATTACAAATACCCAATCAATTATTCACCACTCTTTTACCATTATTTACAATTTCCCAGACCGTCGATATCTTCGACATAATTATAAAATTATATTAAATATCGTAAGTTAGAGAGGCACCATCACAGAAAATACACTTTTCATAAGAGATTCCTTCAAAAAGGAGGAAATCGGCATCAGCATGAAAAATTAAAGTAGGCCTAGTTTTTCCAAATTATTAAAAGTACCCAATAAATTATTCGCCATTCTTTTACTATTATTTACGATTTCCCAGACCATCGATATCTTCGACAGAATTATAAAATTATACCAAACGTCGTAAGTTAGAGAGACACTATCACAGAAAATACACTTTTCATAAGATATTTCTTCAAAAAGAAGGAAACTCGTCATCAGCATAAATAATTAAAGTAGACCAAGTTTTCCCCAATTGTTATAAATTCTCAATAAATTATCCACTACTGCTTTATCATTATTTTCAATTTCCTAGACCATCGATATCTTCGACAGAATTATAAAATTATATCAGATGTTGTAAATTAGAGAAACACCATCACAGAAAATACACATTTCATAAGAAACTTCTCTAAAAAGGAGACTTGTCATCAGCATGGACGATTAAAGCAGACTGAATGTTTCCAAATTATTATAAATACTCAATAAATTATTCAGCACTCTTTTACCATTATTTACGATTTCCCAGACCATCGATATCTTCGAGCGAATTATAAAATTATACCAAATGTCGCAAGTTAGACAAGAGAGACACCAATGTACAGCTAACCAAGAAATGGTAAAACGGACATTTCCGCAGGAAGAATCGGTATAGCAAGGACTAATAGGCTCGATTTCCCGACTTACAGCGTTTCCTGAATCGGCGTTGCGTTACCTAGGTGTAAACAGTACCCTCCCACGCGATCTGGATCTCATAATACCGTGAGGATTTCCCGTATGGATCGAGCTACACACGCGAAATGCGCGCACGCATGTAGCGTACGGATTAGCTTCCTTTCTGGGTCCGTTCACCTTTGATCCGTCGAATCTCGAGGAAGGATGGACGTGTATACAGGTAGCAGAAGGCAGAACGAGATGGAAGAGCAGAAGAGAAGGCATTCAGACGGGCTAATCCTCTGATTCCGTACCCGGCTCCGATTCAGGCCATTCTGTCTTTGCCTCTCCCTCTCTTGGCCGCCATTCAATCCGGAGGTAAGATCTCTTTTAAGGAATCTGTAACGCTATCCTGTTTACAGACAGGATCCTCTTGATCTATGGCGTCGGGTGTATTTTTATATTTATAGCCGGGAATTGATTCGTAATATCCCCGGGCTTTGCAGGGGCTGAGGAAATTCTAGATCCGAGGGTGGGTACTATCGATCATGGTTACTTTCGAATAAAGAACCTAAGTTTTTGATTATTCTGACAATTTTCTGAACTTTTTCCTTCCTCCAGTATTCCCGCGATTATATCGGGTGTGTCAACATTCACGCGAGAAGTAATTTTTATAGGAAACACAAGCTTTTAACTACTTGCGTTGGAAAGACGTGTCACGCACGTTGAAATGCTTTTGTCGCAGAATCGCCAACGACGTGGCATACACGTGCGCATGACACCAACGTGGTACCACCGAAGGGCATAGTGTTAACAACGAAAATGCGTTGTTCTTTAATGTAACCCTCCATTTTTGACAACCCTAAACTGTCATCTGTCACGCTGTCATTTTTCCTTCGTTGGGAATACTTTACCGCACGAATGGCGCGAAATTCAAATCTTGCGTAAATTTTAAGGCAGCCTATATTTTGATTAAAAATTTCGTTCTTTTTCTTGGTTCTTCTTGAATTTTTCTTTTCTTTTCTATCTCAAATTTATTGAACAATTGACAAATTATAGCGACATTTTGCAAGATATATTTAAACTTTATTTCCCAAACAATTTCCATGGTTCCTATCAATTCTCGGGCAGTCTCGTGGAGGCTCGGCCAGACAGAAGCGTTCTCGATAAAAAAGAAAAGGCGATCGCGAAGAATGAGCACAGCGAGGGCTGAATGAACAGGAAAGAGAGACAAGGTGAAAGAAGTTCCTGGAAAGGCGCTAACGTGTCTTCGTTCGTGAATGGACCTCGATGCGTCAACGTTACGTTTCAATCTCGCGGAGCAAGAATAGGGAAAGAACTGCTGGAGCGAAAAGTGTCCGGCAGGTAGACGTCCCTTAATGCCATTTCGTGCCATTTACACCTCGAGAACGCTCGTACTGATCGAAGGGGGTTTCTCCCTTGCATCTCTTCGCTGTTGCTTATTGTCAGGCTGCCTATACACGGTGGCCATTGACGAAGCGACTTCCCGTCACGCCATTGCAGCTCGTTTCTTCTTCGTTCGTCTCTCACAGACTGGACGTCTTCCAAAAGCCTTGCAATGGTACATTTAACGACCATTTTCGCTGGAAATGACGATTTTTCTGGTCTCCTGAACAGGTAGGTAGGTATATACTTGTGTAATGAAATTATGGCCCATGTCAGTGGATCATTATGGTCCATTTTGTCCTTGCTCGTGGTGAAGATAAATGTGGAGATTTATAAATTTTAATGGTAAAATCAGGGATGTTTCATGGGGGAATTTTTCTTTGGAAAAACTCTGATTTTTCCTGGGGGAATTGCTGAAGTTTCTGAATGACATTTGGCACACGATTTTTCTGATATTCAGGACAGGAATATATAATGAAATTATAGATTACTGAATTATTATGGCCTATTTAACCATTGATTATGACGAAGATGAAGGTGGAGAAGATTTGTAAATTTTAATGGTAAAATTAATGGTAAAATTAGAGTCCATTCGTCCATTCGTCCAACGAATTCACCAAGTAAAGACATTCGATCTGTCAAAAATGTGATAATACCCTGTCAACGAATAATCCACAAAAATTATTAAATTCTTCCCACAAAAGTCGAATATTTTTTCTTAAAACAGAAAATTTCAAAGATTGGGAGAAAATCCAGGCGAAGACGTTTGATCTGCCAACAAATTGTGTCAATGCCCTGTCAACGAATAATCCACAAAAATCCTTAATTTCTTCCCCCAAAAGTCGAGTATTTCTTCTCAGAACAGAAGATCTCGAGGATCGGTAGAAAATCCAGGTGAAGACGTTCGATCTGCCAAGAGCGTGGCTGGAAGTGACCAATTTTTCAGACACACGTCAACGTGTCCGATAGGAATATGATCGATGGACATTGAGAGCCTTTGATCCGTGTAATTCGCATGCGCAAGAGGACGCGAAGGGACTCATTGTCGCGCTGTCAATTCCTTTAGCGACGCCACGTTGACGGATCAGCGGATGGTTTGCGCATTTTTGGAAAGCAAAATAAGGCGGACTCGTACCTGTCCACTCAGCCATTCACCTTCCCTCTGTCAGGCCTAGTGGCACGATTCCAGGCCGATGCAAATGTCGGTTCCGCTTCCGTTACGCGCTTCAGACGGCGGAGCGCGACTTTTGTGTCGTTTGGACACGGATGGGCCCCGATTTCGCGCAATCCTCTCGAGGGGAGGCCCCGATTCGCCGCGAGTAACTGGATCATAGTTTCCGCCGTTTGCTTCCTATTATTTCTCTCCTCCAGCTGCTAGTTTCGGTCATCTTCGTCTGTAATAGATCCTTCGATTACGTCTGTAATAACGACATCTCTTTTAATAGGCAAGTATGTATAAAATGCATGTATAATGCATGTACCGTATCCAATTAACCATGTGAAAGTATAGTAATTAGAAAGAATTATGTGGAAAAATCTTCGTCTTTCAATCTTGACAGTCTCTTTTAATAGGCAAGTATGTATAAAATGCATGTATCGTATCCAATTGACCATGTGAAAGTATAGTAATTAGAAAGAATTATGTGGAAAAATCTTCGTCTTTCAATCTTGACAATGACACATTGTAGAGTACTCTTCGCGTTATAATAACGAGTCTAACTCGTCATGGAATCTCACGATTATAAGCTGTACTAATAAATAATTATATGCACAAAATTCAAAGAATTTCTGAAATTTTTATCTATTTTTATTGCGGATGAAATAGGTATATATTATAGTAGTTAACTTAAATTAAATACCACTCCAATGTATAATTTTTCATAATTAAATCATAGTATAAGAAGTTAATCTAACAGATGAGTGAAGATACTCTGAGGTTTTGAGAAGCATGGAATTTTTCCTTTTTCCAAAAATTCGTCAGAAATTTTAGAAAAATTTCGATCTTCCATGATGGTTCCATTTTGTTTGTAATAATTGTGGCAATTGTAAGGAAATAAGTGAAAATTGCTTCTTGTAACTGAGTGTTAATTGTTATTTTATTTTATGATCTATTGTATGATCTATTGGAATAGAAAAATACCATTCAAATGGTATCACCCACGTGTCAGATTTTATTATACTTATTCCCTCCCTAATTGTAATTAACATAGTAATTGTATCGTTCTACCTTATTATTATTATTTTACTATACATATAAATTTCTCTTGCATCGTTTTCATGGTCAACCCACCATACAAGCCATCATACAAAAATCTCTCGATAACACCATACAACTTCAAAATTATCCACCAATATATAAACAATTTTCTTTCATTTACTTGTCAGTGTACTGTAACATTTAATCTCAGTCATCACATCAAGATAGGACACAATAAATTATTAAAAAATAATTTTCTGTGTCAAAATTTCCCTCGATCCTCGCGACTACCAGAAATCCTTCCCTTCCCTCTCACGGTAATTACCCGATAAGTAAATGAAATAAACGAGTAGAAGCGCGAAGATTTTGTAGGGCACGTCGTTTCGTTTTTAGAAACACTGTGGAGGATACGAAACTGCGTCTCGTCAGCGCCGGGTAGCTCGTAAAATCGCGAAACGCGTCGGCCGGTTTTTCGAGTCTAATGGAATATGATGTCAAGCTCGCGGCGGCGTTCGCGTTGTAAATCTCGATGAATTATCGTCGTTTAAACGACTGTGAAATTAGCGGTTTAGCGAGCAGCGTCTCTGGATCCTCTATGCGCCTCGTAACTGTCTTCTAGGTGCTAAATTTCACGCCAGCCCATCTCGGGGTGGAAGCTTCGAGAGGGGGTGGTTTCAGGGTTTCGAAACAGCATCTACTGCATTGCCAGTGTTAACGTAATTTGGTTAACCCTTTCGACTACAACGACGAATCGTCGCCAGTTCTTATGGTTATAAGCTGGACTAATTATAGTATCCTAATTATGTTTCACAGGTTTTAACGTGTACGTAAGTTTACTCCAGTGTTAACGTAATTTCGTTAACCCTTTGCATTACAATGCCCAATCGTCACTAGTTCTTCGTGATTATAAGTCACTATAATTATATTTCACAGGATTCGAAGAATTTCTGAAATTTAATTAATAACTGTAAACTTCAAACGTTTTAAATTTTATATTAATTGAAAAGGAAACAATATTAATTTTCTTAGAAGGATCTGACAATTTTCAATAACTGCAAGAATAAAAAATTCTAATCTCATCTTTCTAATATTATATTAATTATTAACAGGTCCCCAAGACTGATATAACTTAAAAAATTAAATTAAATTAAAGAAAAATCTAACAACTTTCAACAACTGCAAGAATAAAAATTCTAATCTCATCTTTCTAATATTATATTAATTATTAACACTGTCTCAAGACTGATATAAACTTAAAAAATGAAATGAAATTAAAGAAAAATTAATCAAAGAAAAAATATTCGATATCGATTAATGAATAAGTCAACGCAATTTTTTCCAAAATTATCTATTCGCCTTCAGCAACCTGAAAAATACAAAATTTTTCCCAATTCTACGTCTCCATCGTTAATCATCAACGTCAACGGCTATCACCGACCCTAACGAAGTATTTAAACGGACAGAAAACAGACCCTAACCTAGTTTCACCTTTCAACATTGTTTCAATCCGTGGTCCGTTAATTCCTGGCCATTCTGTCGCAATTCAGCCCGTCGGCGCGAGCAGCAGGGCCCCCGGGTGGTCCCCGGAAGGAGGGCCCAGAAGTGGAAGGGTTAAGAGCTCCGTGAACTTCGCTCGATTCGATGGATTCGCAGCGTGATGTCAAAATAACCAAATGTCAACAGTGTCGCGAGTCAACGGGGTTCTTGATCGAATTACACTGGTGGGGGCCAAATTTACAAGGTGCTTCCTGCGGCGTGCCCTTTCTGTCAATTAAGTAACGCAGCTGCGCCGTGCGAGCGCGTCTGTCGACCCCGAATCCAAACGTCCTCGGCACAACGAAATAACGAAAAAGAGAGAAAAGAAAAGGAGAAAAAATCGGAAAGGACGATCAGCCTCCTCGACCATTCACCGAGGAAACTGACCGCCCATCGCACCGGACCCACCGGTAATTTTCTCTATCTCCCTAATATCGCGAACTGGACGCTGCGATTGACCCTTCCATGTTCAAAGAACGAAATTGCATGCTCCGTTCGTTCCAACGTTCTCTAATGCCTTCTGAGGTGCAAAATTAGGCTGCTGCATCGCGTAGGTATCCTTTGGATGAATATTCGGGGCCCTTCGATCGAGGAATTTCTTTTTTTAATTTTTAATTTATTTCATGTTAACCCTGTTGAGGAATTTTACACTTCTCTAGGTGTTTGCTATAGTGTTTGTTATAGTGTTTATTACAACCCAAACTTTTCTCGTTTTACGTGTCTTTTATCACCGTTCAAGATTGTAAAATGGAGCAAGGGGTACGTCGGTTTAGTGAGTGATGGCAATTGTTTATGCAGTTGGAGAGAATGATGATAGGAAAAATTCGTTCTCAGAACCTCGTTTCTTCTTTAAATCTAAATAATTTATTTTATTTATAATTCTATTTATTTTATTTATCCTTTTGTCAGTGGTGTGAGTGGTGTTTGATGTTTGTTTTATTTCATTTATATACGAGTTGTTATTTATTAATACACTAGTTATATTATTTCTAAAATACCATTTATATTGTTAATTAATATTCGAATATTAATTATTTGTAAATATACGATTACTAAATTTCTCTTATTTCCCATCTCACAATTATATAGATTTTTAAATTGCTTTTTATTTATACTAGTGACTGTAATCATATTACTTGTGCATCCTGATTATCCCACTGAAGAATGAAATTTTGTAACTGTTTTGTAATGCTTCATGTTGTATTAATGAATTAATCCTGTTTATATCGATAAATTAAATTGGACAATTGAGCTGTTCACTGGACAAATCGATTAATTCTACTTTTTGAAAAATCTTAAATTTAAGTGTCAAAGCACTTGGTATAGTCATAAGTTTCGATATTTAAGATTATTCAAAAAGTGGAGTTAATCGATTTATGCAATGAACGGCTCAATTGTCAAGTAATGATAGTCAAGTAATCCTGATTAGGGTACTGGTTATTAAATCGAATCATAATGTTTCAACTCAGAGAACTCGAAATTCCACAATTCCAGAAAAGAAACAGGGAGCAGCTTTAAAAAATCCGGATAGAATGACGGCGTCGCGAATATTCGTGAAAGCCACACCGACGCCAGGGTACGAGAAAAATTGACGGAACATGGAGGCGTCGGCACTCGTCAAAGCGTCGTTTTACGCCGGTACCAGCGTCTCTCCGGAAGGTTAAGCCTGCCGTCGGTCCAAACAGTTTTTCGTCGTAATAAAACCGCGCTTACGCCGATAATAAAAGGCACCGTACGCTCCGTTCTGTTTGTTTCTCCTGCCAGACGTCTCTGATGTCTGCTGGTGCTCGGCGTCCGATTAACGACGCCCCTTCCGCTTGTGGGAAACGACGCCCGTTTTCCGCGACATCGGCCCCTTCTACCGAGAAATCCTTTCCCCGCGATTCGCCGGCGGGATGTCTAAAATTACTCGTCTAAAAACGAGTTACGAGCCTATGGGACCACCGTCGGAAGTTCTAGGCCGCAGTCCATTCACGTGGAACCGAGGACAGGCCAAAGTTGACATCGAGTTGGTATGGTGGGAGAAATTTTGGAGAAATTTATTTCATTTTAATTTGTACGAATTTGCAAGATGAACTGAAGAGACTCGAAGAAGATGAAATTATAATTTAAGAAAAACATGAACAATGATATATAATATGCATTTCGGTGTCACAATTCTGATGACAATGGAAGAGAATTATGGCAGAAGAGATTACGAGGAGGCTGTGAAGAAATGTTGAAATGAAGAAGAATATAAAATGATGTTTAAGAACAGGAGAGGAAAGAAGAAGAGAAGAAGAGATTACGAGGAGGCTGTGAAGAAATGTTGAAATGGAGAAGAATATAAAATGATGTTTAAGAACAGGAGAGGAAAGAAGAAGGGAAGAAGAGATTGAAATAACTGAAGATTAAAAGAATTAATTTATAAAAGGAAGAAAGAGAATAAGAGGCTCGAAATAGGGGAAGGAAGAAATTGAAAGAATTCAGTTACCAGAGGAAGAAATAAGAATAGACAATGATATACATGTAATATGCATGTTGATATCATAATTCTGATGCCAATGGAAGAGAATTATAATAGAAGAGATGATGAGGAGGGTTAGGTGCAGAGATGTTG